GTTTTTTTTAAAAAAAAAAAAAAAAAAAAAACACGTTAGTCTTTAACAACCTTGACTTTAATGGACTTCTTACAGTAAACCATTATCTCGGTTTTAATCTTCAGCTCTAAGAAATTGACTAATCACAGTCAAATGTAAATAATCGACTATGATTGGTCAATTTCTTACGACTTAAAACTTAAAGGTAAAGACTTGTAGAAAACCCACAGGGTTGAAACTAATGGAACAGCCTCGTCCTATCCCACTTGTATAAAAAAACATCATTGCTGCCTCAATGACGGAATCTCGTCGCTTGCGGCGAGCTGCTCGCGACTGAACATAAATAAATTATACTCGATATATAAATGTTGCTGCACACAAGGCACGCAAACCTGGCTGCGTTCGCTAGGAAGAAAGAGAGATCGACATGCAGTAACTTTGAAGAGAAGGCTCCTGGCTCTTCCCTTATCTCAACATGGAGAATCCTTTCACTTTTGTAAAGCGAAATGGTCTACATTGTATATAACGCATGTTGCACTCTGGCGACGAGGCACGTACTGCACGTACCGGCGTGCTAATTTCATTCTCCTTATTCCAGGCGTGTCTCGGTGATTCAATGCCAAAAGGACTGTAGAGTTTAGTCGGAGTGCGACCTAAAAGTTGACGGGAGCGAGTCTGAGGTGTCTGCATGTTGGATGGAGACTGTTGTTCCTCCAGTCGCTGGCGTCTACGTGTGGAACTCTTAAATTTCTATACATAGGAAAGAATTCTTTAAGTATCATTTGCTTGGTTTTGATATACATATATTATTGATATTATATATATTTATCGTATTATAATATAATGCATTAAATTTATATATCTAATAATATATCTTCCTACAATAAGCCATTATTTAAGCTTTAAAGTCTTAAACTGTAAGGAATTGACCAATCATAGTTGATTATTTTTCTTATATTCTTGATTATGATTGATCAATTTCTTACAACTTAAGACTTGGTAATGGCTCATTGTAGAAAGCTATCATGGACCTTCTACAATAAGCCATTAGTCATAAATCAGAAGTCAGAAGCTAAAAATTGACCAATCATAGTCATTAATTTTTAGTTTTTGACTTCTGATTTATGACTGATGGCTTATTATAGAAGGTTCATTAGATATTTACACTAAAATTTTTAATAGACATTAAAACTCTCTTCTTACTTCTGTTACTTTATAATGAAATTATTTAATGCTAATTAATATGAAAATAATTGTTTTATAATTTCAATAGGATCAATTCTGATTGAACCAAATAATTAGAATGATTATTAAATATTAAATAAAGATGAAAAGATGATATTAATTTGAATCTGTTGAAATCTATAATAGACAGTCCAAGTAAAAGAAACATAAAAAAGATAAAATTCATTTCTTGTCAATTTGTTCATAAATTTTCATATCTTACCTGGGATATTGTGCCAAAAGTAGTACGAACGGAGGATATTGTCCTGGACAGCTTCTCGGCACCGTTCCGTAACGCTCGTCTCGAATCCGCGGATACATTGCCAAGGCTGATATTGTTCCAGGGCCGGTCGGTCGAATCCTTTGTCTTCTGTGGTTTCTCTTTCGCATCGTTGTTGGACGATCCCCGATCTTTCTCGAATCGATCTTGCAGACGCTGACGCAGATTTCGCGAGCTCCGCACCATCTCCGGCGAGTTTCGCATGCTTAACACCTCCCGGTGAAACGTGAACGAGACGCTGCGCGAGTCCGGTCGCATCTCGGCGAATCCTGTCGTCAATATGTAACAATTGTGTCGTCGCAAGTCCTGGGGCCCCGTCCAAGATAGTCCTGTCCTAAACCTGATGGATCGAATGACGAAACGCAATCACGACCGTTGGTAACCGTTTCTCAATGATTTTTGACCACCTGACCTAATATGACCTGATATCCCATGGAACAACTAGAAGGGAAACTCTCGTTCCCATAACATTTTTATGGGGTTCCGCGCAACTCGCGTCAGGAGAAACGATTCGATTGGTGGACTTGGCGCTTAATTTTGAAAACGTTCGCAGGAATTGCAATTTTTGAAAATTTAATATTACTATTTTTCCAATACTTTTTCAATCTTTATTGTTGTAATATATTTTTTCAGTATATGACAATATAATCAGCAAAGTGGTTGCACCATCGATATTATAGTCCCAAGAATTTTTTATATTTCCAAGAATTACGATTTTAACAATTCGAGATTTTGAATAGTCAACAAAGTATATCACGCGAGAGTATAATCGTAATTAAATAGCGTTGTTTATATTTTTAAAATAATTTTCAAAACGTCTGAGACTCTTTGACAAAATCTTGTAGACACAATAATATAAAAAAAATCTTTAAGACACGCCTTTAGTTCTGAACTCGCGTTCTCTGAATCGTCTTTAAGACGAAAATAAAGCTTCGTTCGAAACAAAGTATAATTTTACATTCGTTACTATACATTTATTCTGCAATACATCCTCTAATAACAAATCATAAAATTAACGTTTACAATCTAACCATTAAAGTTGTAGCAGTCACGCATTTCCGCGGGGTCTTTAATAATACATCACTAGCGCCTCTAGTTATTTTTTTACTCCGTGCATCCGACGCGTATACCACGTGACGCGTAGTGACGGCCGGCCTTAGCTGCGAGAGGGAGGGGGCGGGCGGCCGATGGCGGCGGCGGCGTTGCCGTCAGTCAGCCGCGGCTCGCCTCGCGGCACTCGCGGCCTCTGTACCGGCAACAACGCCATTCGTTACGGCCAGCCGTCTGTCGTCGCGACTCCGGCGACTCGCGGCGCAGTGTGCGATATATTCGTGCGGCCGAACACACCTAATGTTTGTGTTTTCGTGCCTCTCGTGATAATCAAAATCGTCGCAGACGAATTGTCACGCGAGGCGAGTCAGGTGAGTAGGACGCGCCGCCCTGGCATGTAGCTATCGCTACCACCGGTCCACGTCGTCGGCGTCGCACCGTCCGGCTCTCGAGATGTGGACGACGACGAAAACCACCAAGTACGGCGTCGGTAAGTCGTGTTTTATCTTGTACAAGGCGCGCGAGTTTCTCCTTCCGCCCCCCCGTCCTCTCATTCCGTTTGCCGTTCCACTTTGGAGCTGTCAAATTCCACGGCGCGGTCCGGCCGGTCCGGCCGGGAATCCCCGTAATGATCGCGAGATCGCGCGGCGCGTGACAGCTCGCGACGATTTCGTTTGGATGACGTTCGCGAGGATCCTCACAAACGGACTCTCTCGCCGGCAGCGGCGTTACGTGCGTGTGTGCGTGCGTGCGGCGTGCGTGCGTGCGCGCGCGTGTGGGTGTCCCTGCGTGCGCTCCATTCATGCATTGATCGTGCGCGCGAGTAGTAAAGTCCGCGCTTGATAAAGCCGGGTCGGTCCCGGATTTCGCGCCTCCGCGCTCTTCCGAGGAGCGACGAATACTTTCAGCATCCTTATCTCGAATGTCGCTAGAGTAACTGTCCCTATTAATGTGCCTTTTAGCCCATTTCCTTATTACTGAATTAATTATTAAATATTGTAGCTTTAATTTTATTTGCTCGCAATCAACATCGGTTTTTCAACTACTTCTTTTTCCTATAATATTTCTTTAGTCTAAAAAATGTTAATACTTTATAATGTTTTTGACAAAAATAAAAAACATGTTCTTGTCCCTATTAGGGAATCCTCCAAACGGCGATGGCCCTATTAATGTGCCCCCAATTTGTGTGCCTATCCACATTTGACTCATTTTAACATACAGTTACTAAAACAGATAATAAATTTAAGCTAATTGTTTGAGTTAATATTACATAAGTCATTATTTCAATTATATTTGTTTTAATGTACACTTATAACACAACGTTCTCAGCTCCGATACAGAGCACATTAATAGGGACAAGTTTAAAATCTTGCGTAAAATACTTTAATACTCAAAAAATAAAATATTATCTTCGGTATCGTATGCATTAATAATTTAACTTAACAAAAAAAATATTTTTTCTTATTTATTCGTGCTAGTTTTCTTTATGACTTATCGAAATACAAAAGCACCCTAATAGGGACAGTTACTCTACGTGGCAACAGGATTCAGCAGATTTAAAAGGAAGATGAATCCTTTATAACAATGTTTCGACGATGATGATGTCGAATAATAATTTTGGTGTACATACTGGTGATTTGCTATATTAGAGGTTAAAGTAGTAGGTAATGCGTCTATATTACCTGGGAGAATTCCATTTCGCGTACGAGAGATACGGGGAAACCTGACTCACACTAATTATCGCGTTTTGTCGAGTAAAGATATATGGCACAGAGTATTAGAAGAAAATTTATAAAAACACGAAGCCCTGCGGATTTTAACGTCAAGTCGTTTGAACTGTAAACAAGAAGTAGCAAATCAATCACTCTTTTAACGATACATGCTCGTTTCTGCGAATGTACTTCAATTTTAATCTCGGTTCAGCTAACTTTATCTTGTTCTAGTTCTAAGAATTAGAAAAAGATAAAGAGTAAGTTGAACTAAGATTATAGTTAATTTACATTGGTAGAAACAGTAAGAAAAATCTTATGTGAAGTTTAATTAATATTGTAAATTAAAATGTTGCAGCAATTTTATATAAAATCCACGTTATTGATTTAATAAAAGTATACAAACGTAGCGGTTTACATAACTGGCCTCAATTCAAACTTTTCAAAGAGAATCGGAATATGAAATGAAGGATTCTGATTGGTCGATTCTATTGTGCCTTATGCGTTATGCAAAAGTCTGCGCTGCAGCCTTTATGGGCTTTCTATAATAAGACATTACCTAAACTTTAGATCTTAAGCCATAAAAAATTGATCAATAGTAGTCGGATGTGAGATGAATAATCGACTACGATTGGTCAATTTCTTATGGCTTAAAACTTAAATCTTAGATTTATTATAGAAAATTCATTATGGAGATCGTACGCAAAGAAATATTTCTCATAGCGAATTCGATTCAGTGCGCATTAAAGTCATCGTACACAAATTGACGTAAAGATGTATGTTTACTAGAAATGTTCAATATAAATATAAAAACGAATTAAACGTGAAGTCTTCAATACGGAGATACAGGTTGATAAATCAGTGACTTTTTAAAAGGAGGCTATGTTGAAAAATAAGTCAAATTTCAGTAAAAAAAATTTAAAACAGATTTATCAAACTGCCTTCATACATTTTATTATATACTAAGAAAAATGTTTGATTTGAACCGAACGAACTGGAAAATTATGATTATATCAATCATCAAAATTCCGATTATTTCTCTCTCAACCAATAGAGTTTTAGTAGATTCAACCAGAAAATTCTAATTCGTTCTAATTTCCAATTAATCCGTTCAGTCATTTTTTTCAATGTGCTGCTAAATAAATTGTATTTTATAATTCGAAATATTTGCATTTGATTTTTACACACAGATTAAATCGGTGTACCACGACTTTAATAGATATGCACCATTGTGTCCAACTGAATTCGATTATTCCAAAAAGAAAGAAAAATACGTTTTTAGAAAAGATTAGGAAATATTTAAAAGATAATGCAAATGGAATTTTATCGTTATACTGGAATGTCTATGTCCGACGATGGTTAGCTATGTCAAGTGGCTGCGTCTGCTTGAAGATCTCTGACGCGGCAAAAAGTATGCGAAGACGAAGAACGAGACTTTGGCTTCGGAATCGGAATCAATTTACAACGCGGCATCGTTCGTCCAGCATTTTTTCGCGAATTAATTAACGCTCGCGTTAATCCTCGGCGCTCAGTTTAAGGTCGTTAGCATCACCGTCAACTCAATCTTGTTTCAAGCAGTGCAAACGGCTTTAATCCGATAAATAACGCCTTTAGTCAGGGTGATGAGATTAATCATTGATTCCTCGGCCTTTCTCTTTTTAATCATCGGTGTTTCTCGTTTTCGGCCATTTACCTGGAGCCATTTACCTGTTTATGCAATTTATTAGATAAAATAATTTAATAAATTATGTTCTTTATATCGATGAAATATCCGATTTTTTATCACTCTTTTATTTTCATAATAATTTATTCGTTCCTTTTAGTGAGTAAGAAACGTTTATATTTCTAGTGTTAAGAAAACTTCAAATTAAATTTGTCCGCTTAGAATTTTGATTTCGAAATATATATATTTTTTGCAATTTTTTTTATTTTCTAAATAAAAAACAAATAGAGGGCCATAATGAGAGTTTTTAATCGCGGTAATTCGTGCGATAAAAAGAAAATTTATTTCATATTACGATAAGTCAGACGTTTTGGCTTCACTTCAAGCCATCTTCAGTATATCTGAACCATACAAAATAGAATAACTTACTAATGGCTAAACGAGAGATTTTTTATTTCCTCCAGATATAAAGTAGTAACGATTCGCAGACTCTCCTTGTTCGCACGTGATAGCTTCCGGGATTTTTTCTCGACTGTGCTCGGGACTCGCACGGTCTGAGTGTGTAGCGACGCGATTAAAGCACAATCTTCCAATCTACCAATGTACGACACTATTCACGCGGTCATGCCCCTATGCATTATTTCTTTTTAGCGGGACCGTTGTAGGTGTAGAATTGCGCCATCTTCCTCTTCTCTTTTTCTCTCTTTCGTTCTCTCTCTCTCTCTCTCTCTCTCTCTCTCTCTCTCTCTCTCTCGTGGCAAGTCTACAGATGCGTTATTCCTGCCATTACCGAGGCCCTCGTGCCGTAAACCCTGAACACTAAAGGCAGATCCATTTTAACTCGAAAATATCGAAAAAGCCTTCGAAGCACCATTCTTTTTTACGATATCCGGCTGATATCCCATTTCCGGTATCCCACAGGTAATACTACGGTGCTCTCCTTTTAAAATTGTATATAATTTCACTTTTATTCCAAATTTTACAGTGAAATTGTATCCATCAATTTGCTTCTATATTTTTGATATT